GTTGCGATTCGATCGAAAGTAAATGTAGTAGAACCGCCGCTTGCCGGTTCTCGACTTTTTAACAATTACACACCTGTCTGTCCCAGTGCGAAACGGTGCTAGGTGTAAGGTAAGCGCTTGAGGAACGAGCGGGGCGCCGAGCGCTGTTTATCGGATTCCGATGAAATTCGTAGATAACGCATAGTAAACGTTCGGCGTGTTGTAATAGATCAAACGCGGGTAACATTTTAATCGAAGTGTTTGGCACTAGATTAATTTTTATTAAAATTCAGGTGTTGGCAATCTGTAATATGCCGCGAAATGTTTTACCTTGCTGTCAGATATTAATGTTTAAAAACATAAGTTTTTCCCAAATACTGTTCAGATGTTAAATCGTCTTAAGGGGGTATTCTAATGTAGCGCGATGAATTTTAGGGCATTTTTAAAGTGTCGTAAAAGAAAGCAATGAATGTTTTTACTATCCACTTTTTTACCACTTATTTATTAGGATTATTATAATATAAAACAAACATTAAAAAATAAAAAAGTTGTAAATTGTAAAAACTGGCAGCTGATGAAGTGGGTGGTCTCAAAATATTGGAACCTCAGTCTTGACATGATTTCAGCCCTCCTAGCAATCCGAAATGCAAAAAATAAAAAGATTATTAATCTACAATGATGTCGCAATCGCCCGAACTAGCGATGAGTAGAAAAAAATTTTTTTTACAAATCGGCGACTGTTTGAAAAAAGTGTTTTTTTACTGTTTTTTTTGAGTTTCTCGAATTTTTTAAAAATAGTAAAAATCGGAATTTGGGAATAATCCTAGTTCGGGCTATAGATATGTCTATAAACAAGACTCTCTGAACATTTCAAGTGAATCGGTCGATTAAAACTCGAGAAATCGTCTCAACAGTACTGAAAAAGTCTGTTCTGAGAAAAACGCATTTAAAGTTTTGCGTGAAGCCAAACCAGTATGGAGACCGAGTCAGTAAAATGCCTATATCTCCGAAAAGAATTCAAATTTTCAAATACCTTCTCGTACCCATATTCTTAGATAGTTAAACTTTGAAAATATGAAATAAAAAAAAAATCGATTTTTTTGAATTTCTACACTAGAATACCCCCTTAAATGTAAAGTTATATTTGATATCTAGTTAATGAAAATGTATAATGCCGGAAGATTATTAACAGATTCATAAGTAAATAAGAAACTATGATCTGCTATGCTAGATTTGATAACCTATTATACCCATCCATTCCCACGAGAATATAGTCCAGTCATTTAACCTTAAATTAGGTAAGAATCCCAGAATTTGAGATACCCAGCTGTAAGTCTGTAAATACTTGTATATTGACACCCTGAAGTTGTCTCAAAGCTACATATGGTATTGACACCCTACCGGGTATCTCGAATTCCGAGGTGAACTTACTATAATGACTGGACTAATAAAAAGATATTCATTATACTCATCTGAAACTTATCAAAAATTGATTATATCAAGAAAAAAATTGGCAGGCACTTGGTTTTTTATTGCCCTTGATTCGATATACTAAAGTATATAGCACTGCTTTTATATCACATTTGGTACTCAAAATTATCAAGATTTTTCCATTTTACAATACTCATTAAATGTGCCAACTTTTGATAAAACTTGCCAACACACTTTAGTCATTTTTATTAGAAGGGCCACTCAAAGTCGAACAATTTTAAAAAATTTAAATTCATATTTCAACAAAAAGTGTTAATTCTTAAAAACTTGCTTCAATAGTGTTATTATTTTTACTGTGTTCCTAGAAATGTTATTCACGGTTACGGTTTTAAAATTAATAAAAAAAATAACCATAATAACCGAAAAGTGATCATAATTTCACCAAAGCTCTAGGTGGCTTTTAAAATCTCATAATTTCCAATCATCTTGAAATTATTTTTTTCTCTTTTTTATCAGGACAGTTAAGGTCTATACTATAGTATTAGTTTGACTAGATGTTAAGGCAGCGGTTTCCAACCTATGAGGCAAGCCTCCTCAGGGAGGCGCATACATCAATTTCCAGAATACTATTTTTAAAATTAACCGAACATTTTTAAAATGACAATAAAAAATAAACAGAAAATAATTAGTTTCCATTCATATTTTTACTGTTGGTATAATTTTTTTGTTAGAGCAAGGGGGCGCTGTGCAAAAAAGGTTGGAAACCACTGTGTTAAAGTATGGTCACCCTGCATAGGTACTTGATACTGCAAATATGTGTTTTAATATAACAATTAAAAATCAATAATCTAATCGTAAGGTATGTTTCTCCGAAATATTGCATTGTTACCACACTTTTGGAACACACCCTAAAATTAACAGGTTTTTCTACTTATTTACCGATGTTAGTTTTCATATTGAAAGAAGTGAATAACAAACAACCAAAGTCACAAAAAGAAAAAAAACGAATACTATATTATCATAGACACCCGTAGGAAAGTGGTTAGAGCAATGAGATTTGATTTAGGGATCCCTGGTTTGATATCTGCACCGAGCAGGCTGAAGTCAAGCATTAACATCGGTTTTCACTTGGAAATATAGTTATCAGTTCATCACTATTACAGAAATTGACTGAAATCACATAGAGATGGGACACCAGTTTGGCTTGTCATTTATATAAAATCGACGTAGTTAAGTCATCACAACATTCCTCACAAGAGCTCATGGAACTCTTAAATTTTGATCTCTATTCAATGATAAGAGAAAACAATCAAAAAAGAAATCCTTTAAACGTTAAGATAAAATAAGAAGTGGAGATAAATACATCTAGACCTCAAGTCAAAATTTTATGAAATATATCAGCCATTGTATAAATTTCGATATAAAATATGTTGTCATCTATAAAAGAATACGTAAAACACCAAATTAATATAATATACTGATGACTTTATATGGTTATCAAGCAGAATTATTTTTTATACTCTCTGATAGACAATGAATATAAAAAGTCTAACACGTATAATAAAATGTTCACGAGCTCTCTCTAAAAACGATCACCGCGTTATAATGATTCCAAACGATTTAGACATTTGTTTTGTTCATTGTTACAATAAAAAAATCTCGTAAAAAATAGACGCGGCGCGTTCCTCGAGTACTTTCGCTCGAGGCCGTTGCGGGTTCTGATAAGTCTCTTCTACAGCAATACCCATGTTTTGCTTATTTCTGACTCCAAACCGCATGTTGGTCTTTTGTTGTTCTGTTTGGCAGACATGTCAGTAATTGCGAATTAGATTGTAGTTCCGTTTGCGAAATGTTTTTGTGCCCGAGTATGCATATGATGTTAAGTTATTTGTATTGTTTTAAGCTGTTGTGTACTTATAGTTTGGGGCTATCTCGTACTTTCCAATGCAATGCAATATGTAATTAAATTGTTTACATAGAAAATGAATTATTATATGTAAAGATTGGTTGTGATGTACTTATTTCAATGAACTATATAATGCACTGTGGTAACTGTGGTAAGAACGTGAACCACTAGTTCCGGGTTCGATACCCGCCTTGAACAGCTCGATATCGAGCATCAAATTTCATCTGGGATTAAAGATCACAAATATAATATCAAGTGAAAAAAATTACGGGTACTGCTGCTGCATCATTATAGGAAATATATCTAATATAATCTTATCATAAAGAGAATGATCAACCCACAGGGTTGCCTTGTAGAAACAGAACAATGTGGAATGTTTTACAATAAAATGTTGTTCGTCGTCTTCCTTCTAGTGCTTTTCTCGCATTTATAATATGCTACTGATTAGTCAGTATATTTGTTCATTTTTGTGCTGCCATAATGCTTTGTTTTTTCTATTATATTGTCTAATAATTCATTTGTAAAATATAAAGTAAAATAATATATTGGATGTCTTATATTGCTTGGTATTTGTAGTCGGGGTGTTTGTTGATGTATGTCAAACTCGATTATTGAAGGAGAATCGGCACATTCGCTAATGTCTTTCTGCTCTTCATTTAATTTATCGAACTTTTACTTTTGTTGGTTGGATAATATCATCATCACATTCATCAATCTTCGGTTCGAATAGTAATTTCGCAAAATGTATGAATGTCTATTTGAAACTCATCTTCACTACTGCTTAATTCACAAAATTTGCCAGTCGCTTTGCCATATTTAAAAGCGCTCGGTCATTTTAATTATTAAAAAAAGACTATATAGCAAAGAAAAAGGCTAAAAATACTACTAAAATAATTTAAAATTATTTTCAAAATACAACACAGTTTATCACTGCTATATGTAATTTATTCAACTTCTCGATGCAAACTGAGTCATTGTTTATAAAATAGCCTGTGCCTCACCGAGAATGTTTGTCCACTCAGGTGGACAGCCGTCCCCAAAGAGTTAAATACTTAAGTTACGTTATGTTGAACAATAGTCCAAAAAATACTTGTGCATCTATTGATATTACGACTATTTCTAAAATATTGCCAAAGGGTTAATATGAAAATCTATCTTATCTGCACAAGATTCCAATGAAAAATACACGCAGGTCGGTTTTTGATCGTTCTCTATAAAAAAAATATTTAATATTTAAGATACTTAACACGTTTGCGGACGTGAATGCTATCGCATTCATCTTTAATATAAAGGAGAATGACATAAATGCTATAGCATTCAAATTTGAAGTCAATCATTTTAATATAATTTGAGATAACCTTAAGTGTTTGTAATTATTATACCTGTCAAAGTAATGACTAACTGACTCTTTAGGCATCAAAATAATCCCAAAATGATAAAATGATATCAATCATTACGTATATTTTTACATAATATGGCATATTATTTTGAAGGCTAATAATTAAATGTTATTATGAGTTAAGTATTTAGAAAATTAAATTGTTAGAAAAATAAGGAATATGCAATAATTTTTTTATAAGAACGGTGAGGCTATATTAAAAAATTTGGAACCACTGGATTAAATACAAACATGATCATCTTAAACCCTCAAATACAATTCAATATAATTCAATCCTTCCCCTACCTTTAAGCAGCCGCACCAGCCGCGCCTATTCCTGAGGGCCGGCATGTTTCTTCTGCGTTGTCCCTTAGCCCCTAGTCCGTTGTTGTCCCTCTGCGGATGGGTGCCTTTGCCTCCCGGCGGCGTAGGGCCCGTCGCCCCGCCGTCAGGAGGCCAACCGGTCCACTGCTGCAGGCGCTCTCGCAACGAACGCAGCGTCAGTGGGCACGCTGGTAAACCCTAAAATGAAAATTAAATATTGAATACATATTAAAAGTTGAAGAAATAAAATATACATATCTTATATCATATCATTGTACATATCTTAATACAAAAGAAATTAATAAACTGCTGATGTGCATGGCATCGTTCCTTGAGGCAAATTGCTGGAACTTCCCGTAACGTAATTAAAAATCTTGTAACGGATCCCAAAAAAAAATACATAAAATGTGTACACATTATTAAAATCTCTTCAAAATATCTGATAAATTGATTGGACATATGTCCAATAAACATTTTGACCGCCAAATGACTTTTTTTAACTTATTTTTATTAAGAGTTCATAACCGCTGGACCTGCCTTCCCAAAAATTTAATAAGTTCTTCATCTTGTCAATACAATTAAAATGTTTTTTGAATTATTAAAATCCGCTCTCTTAAATACTGAGTAACCGTTTTTGGCACTTTTTACCCCGTATCTTCAAAATGGCTAGACCTTCCATTGCCAAAAACGTCTCCTTATCAATACGAATCGAATGTTTTTTTAATTATTCAAATCGGTTAATCGGTGTTTTCGAAATTGTCGTCGAAAATTTGTATCCGCATATACACACCCACACACATACATCCGTTTTTTTCTAAGGTATGCCAAAATATTCAGAAATATTTGAAACGTAAAGATATATAAAAAATTTCATTTTCGATTTTTTTGCGATTACTATAACTTACCCTACGGGAAGTTGAAAAATATTAGAGTATTAAATCAAATTTATATTTATTTAGCAAATTCTTTCCAAGGCTGTTTAATAAAAATAGACAAAAAAGTTATCAAGTGCATACAAAAAAGTATTTAAATTCCATATTCCTAAAACTTGTAAAGACGCATTTTTCATATGAGATTTTTTTTAAAAATTCAATGGTTCAATGTTTCAGTGTAATAAAGCATAACTATCCCACAAATACAGAAGACAATTCCCTTCAATTTTTTTGTATAATTATTATTGAACAGCGATGAAACTTAAAAGTTTAGTGAACTGCTGTGATAATTTTTAACTATGTCCGTTTTTTATAGATGGCAATCCAAAGAGTTGTCACATCTCTGTAATGAATTTCATTATTACAATTTCTGTAATTATATTAACACTTTCCACTTGGATACCGTCGCTCCGGCGGCAAAATACATACTAATTCCGGAACTAAGAGCTATTGTCACTTGAGAACATATTGATCTCTAAATTTTCAAGTAAAAACTTATGTCAATATTACTTGACATCAGGATGCTAATGCGAGGCCGGTATCGAAACTGGGACCTCCAATTTGATTCCCATAGCTTTAACCACTTACCTACGGGTGAGCACAGTCAAACTTAAGAGTTTTTCAATAAAGGTCGTTTTGTGGTGTAAAAATTTAGGGGCCAATTCTCTACTAAAATAGACCATAACAACGGTCGTTTCTTTATATAAATTGGTAGTAAAAACTATCAAAATGCTATAAATTCGCTGTCCAGTCAAGTTTTAGATATAAAACATAACCTAGAAAACGTATAAATGTTACAATCTATTTTATCCTAGAGTTGGCCTCTTAGTTGCAACCACATTTGGTAAATGAACATCAAATATGAAAAACATAGTATGTTATTTATCAAAGAACAACCTATCCAGTTGTTGAGATTAGTATTAACAGTTTACTACAAATATAACATCATTTGTTTAATTTTACCTAATTACTAATCTAAGTAAGACAGAATTTCCGAATACCTTTTAATTTAATACAGCGACATAAAATTTACGATGTCAAACATCAGATTTTGGACCTTATCTACAGATCTATATCTCTTAATAGAAAGTAAAAAATGAATATGTCATAAGAAAACATCATTTATACGTGCATATTTAAATTGCCAATTAAATTCTTACTGTTCCTACTAAAGTAAATTATAAACACTGCGATAAAATTTCACAATACTTTTATAGTAGAGAGATAAAAAGCAGGAAGATACGGACATATCTGATTTATATGCACAAATGTATCATCTACATAACGTATATCTACTTCCTTATTGAAATATAATTAATTAAAAATATAATACGTATCGGATTAAAAATATTTCTCTCAAATAACAGAGAGTTAGCTACTTTTCGTTGGAAACTTTGTTTGTTCGAGAAATTCATAAAGACAATAGCACAATTTTATGTTATTCACTTATTATCTAAGAATAATAAAAGAAATGTATTTAATGCACGCAAAGTTATCGTCACTTTTACTACACGATTGTTTGTTTTCAGGCTTGTGTTAATTGAAGGCTTTCTTTGTGTTTTATGGTTATCGGACATGCTATAATAAAAGTACAAGGAAAACATTTTACACAATGTTATATGTAACATGTCGCATTATTTAATTTAGTCTTAGTTTTAATTTTGATATCCAACTAATGACTAAATTAAAATTTAGAAAACATCAGTAGTCATTCATGCAAAATTACCAATGACATATACCTTGCATGAAGCAATTCAGTGAAAGAATCAATTTTGAGCAGAAATGAGAAAATAATATATAACATAAATAGCCAACTTTCTGATAAAATAGATTATAACATAGCTTTGTTATGGCAACGCTGCCACGTTTCTATCTTCATATAAATTGGTAGTAAAAACTTAAAAAATGCTATGTATTTGATAGTCGTTTTAGATATAGAAAACGCAAAAACGTCAACATAGGTGCTATCATATCTACATCTTTCTGAAGTGTCATGATAACACATACGTGAAGTTAGGTTTCATGTGTAAAAACCCTGAGCGCACAGCAAATACATAGCATTTTGGCAGTTTTCACTAACAATTTGAATAAAGATAGGTAGGTCATTTTTATTGGACAATTGGCCCTTCAATTTCCATCCTCGCCCAAGATTTAATCAACTAGCTGGTATTAATATTCTATTCCTTCTTTGTTGCCTTTCATTTCAACCAGTAGATAAAAAAAATATACTGCTTTGAAAATATTTGATACTCATATACTTTACAATTTTTTATTATAGTTATATAAAATACTAGAAATATTTAAAGTGGCAAATAATATGGTTTCAAAACGAAATCGTTATTTTTTGTGATCAATATACGAAATTGATTACTGGCTACAAGCCAGAGCATAATAAAATTGCAACGATTCAATAATCGAGATATTTCTATAAACATATACTTGTTTATAACGTGACACTAATTACAAAACCAGGCAATAAATATTCATTAAACAAACTGATTAAAGTGACAAATTGATATAAATAAATGCGCTTTCGTCAAGTTTTCTTGAAAGCTAGCGATTTCAATAGTGGATCTGATAAATATAAAACTGGTGCTATTACAAAAAAATAAGTACAACATGCAAATGATTATGTGACAGAATACAAGTATTTTCATTAAATTAAATTAAAGTTCATTAAAGAGAATGTGGATTTTATCCCTATCCAAAAGAGAAACTAGAGTAGATTTTAGAAGAATTTATGATCTTGCGTTAAGATTATTTCGAAGCAATATCGGTATTTAAATCAGATTGAAATACACTGTGTGGTATCTTATATGTAAACTGATAATATAGATTCTAGTTTATTTTAGCTTTAGGTAAAATTTGTGTAATAGCAGACGGCAGTACAGAATTTATGGATATGATAAGCTAGTTTGAATATAGAGATAGCGATCTTATTGATCTATATCTGTATCTGAAACTCTTGGTGCTGCTTTTACATAATAAATCTTAATATTGACTGTTCATAAAAGCTGCTATACAAATTCAATAAATGTTGTTTGGCTAATAACATAGAAAGTTTTGCTTTGACCAGCAATCATAATTCAGGAGTCTTATGAGCAGTTGTGGCAACAATCGGCCTATATATATTTAATATATTTTTAAAATTAGAACTTATTATATTTTAATTTATTGCATCGATAAGGAAAAGGGGTATTTGCACTTGCAAACATATCTTAGATCTATTTTTTATGTCCAAGGTGGGTTATCGAACTTGAAACCATACAATGCCAAAGCTCTTACCATGAGATCACGGAGAAGCCATATACAAAAAGTTAAATCAAATATATTTGCAGATTTCATAAAATCATGCACTGCACATAATGCAATTTAAATGACTCAGAATTTATGAGATTATGCCTCAAATTTATGTTTGTTTGTCATTAGTGGACTATTCACAGAGGATCAACGAAAACATAAATTTTGTTCTTTTATCGGAATTCAAAAAGACATATGTAATACTCAATACTCCAGAACAATATTTATTCAAAATGACATATATAATACTAAGATATTCCAGAACAATATTTATTGCAATATTAAAAATATAAATACATACATAAAAAAAATTAAGTATAAATTTGATTACAAATTCAAATAGTAAAAAATATTGTTATGAACCGTTCTCTATATTATCTTTAAAGTTGGCAAATTTAGTTTGTAGAAAGGTTGACTCACGGATGTTAAACTGGCAAAAAGAAATTATTTAAAACTAGTATAGTAAGTTGAACAACTAAATCTATTACCAAGGGCTTTCATTGTTTGTTAGTAAAAGATAGGGCCAGTTTGAATTATCTATCACAAAATCTGAGTCAATTTATCAAGAAAACTTCACTTTCTTCACAAATTATATTCAACCTTTTGTTATTTATTCATAAACCACAGTTCATTGTTTTTACAACAGATACCATTTTCGGTAACGATTATTGCTATTTCAATTACAGTGAGACAATGTGAAACTGCATCAAATCGAGGACACGATTTTGAAACCCGATTTTATCAAACTGTCGGAGAAATAATGTAAAAATAAAAAATAAGACAAAATAATGCTAATGAAGTAAAAACTGGGTAAGGCAAAGTTCTGATAATTTATGATCGCTGTGGTTTTAAATCAGCCCGGTAAGTAGGTAAGGCTGAAAAACTCGTGTTTGTTTGGTTATTATGATAATATATAGTGCTTTCACGAGGCACAATGTTCTCCGTTTTGTTTTATGTTGTCTTTAA